CAAAGCTACCATATGGCTTAAGAGGACTTATAATATATAGTGTTCATCCATAGTGTAAAAAGAGTTGCATGGACTTGCTATGGAACTTTAATGTTGCTTGTTATGTTTTTTTGTTTTTTTTTAGCTTTAGACTACCTTGTCACCATAAGCTTTTATTGTATAGAAAATTTCATTTTTATTTTCATAATTTTGATACTTGTAAGCCTGTGGTCAGTGTGTGCTTTTGTATTAAGGAAAAGAGTTATGTAGCGTTTGGACCAATTAGACACACAATTATTCATTATATTTAATGAATAATCTGGCAAATCCCCCAAAAATAAAAAAGAAGCAAACTATGTGTTCGTGAACAACCCCGAAGAGCAACTAACATCCCAAAAAAGGCAGAACAGGCCTGATTACCATGGCAAGCAAAGACAGATCATCAGATAACACTGGTTTTATTGCTCAAAGTAATGCAGGCTGAGCAACTCTCACTCCAAGGAAAGAACATTTCATTAATTCATAGTCAGACCTTTCTATGAATGAAATCCATATCCCCAGGTCATTGTGTGTATTATTACTGTTCTTGTATATTGTGTTTTGTATAGTATACTGTTTTATGCATGCCTTATGATAGAATCACTAGTTAAAGTGGTTATATGACGTTGCTAAAAAGAACATTATTTTGTGTATTTGGTGTAATGCAATGGGTTTATGTGGTTTAAGGTTCAAAAAACACATTCTTTTCCAAATACTGTACATTATTGTTGCTCCTCAATTTTTACAAAGCTCATCGTTCTGAAAAGCAAGGTGTGCTCTGATTGGCCAGCTATCCAGTGCGTTGTGATTGGCTGAATACCTCAAGCGTGTGACGGAAATGTTACGTCCCTTACCATATTGTGATGATGTGTCCCGGCGCGACGAGATAAAAACATTAAAATCCATTATAAATGAGGCATTTGTTGCATCCATTGGGGACATAATTACTGATTATAATGACTTATACTGTCTTTTTACGCGTTGCGTTGCATATCGCGCCGTGTATTGCACTGCGTAAACATAAAACCATGTCTGCGTTTGTGATCGGAGAAATGACAAACAACAAGCCCTACTCTACACTGCTCAAAACTCACGTTTGAATCATCAGTAGCAAATTCTTTAAACATGAAAACGTACTTACGTACAGGCTGTGAGTTAGAAGCGCCAGACTGTCCTTGCAAAGTTGGAATTGCCCCACTTTATAGAAACAGCCTTTGTGCACAGACGGCAATGTAGTCTACTCTCCCAGGTTCAGGAAACAGTCCTCCGTAAAATGTGCTGCACACATCTGAATATTTGGGTTGGAATGTTCTGGAACAGTGTTGTAAATGCAACTTAACCACTGATTTCTAGTCGTGTCCTCTTTTGGAAGACCAAACAAAATAGTTTCGTTTTCACAGCGAAACACACAGCGTCTCCACGACATGGAGGCGGCAGCAACAATACTACAGTGAGAATCAAAGTTATGCCTTCTTTCTGAACATTTGGGCGGAGTTATGCAAATCTTCCCACACAGTGATGTAGACATGTGGGGGCATGTTTAAACAAGGCACTTTAGAAGGGCTTAACTTTTATAAAGAATATCTCTTTGGGTTTGAGACTTTAGTCTTTGCAACTTTAGGGATCTTATCAATGCACGAACAGCTTGTAACACTCCAAAGAGAAAGGAAAACTTGAAATTGCATCATATGACCCCTATAACCCCAACTATACCATGTTTGTTATCTACGAATTTGTATTTTGATTATCTAAATGAGGGTGTATATTATATGTTGATACCTAGTGTTCTAAGAATCTTTACCAGTTTTGCATCAGCACCTAGTTACATATGCAAAATACCATGATCGAAGACTCTCTGACCACCCAAAAGATAGACCTCCATAGAACGGCCATTTTCAACGGCCAAAGCAATGCAAGTATCGTACATTTAACTAAATGAAACAGAGGTTTAGTATAAGCTGTAAACCCCCTTGTAAAACGGCACTGGTGGTTTCACTCAGGTGGTTAACTGACTCATTTTTCATAGCTGCATTCTCTGGTTTCTCTAACGGTTTCATTCATCCACTTTAACTCCCCTTTGTATGCATGTGTGAGTGTGTGTATATACTAGTTATGTGTTAGTGTTTAGTTACATTGTAACCAGTGTGCGAGCACTGAATTGAAATCTTTTGTGTCTTTTTGCACTTGAATTGTTTAAACTCTATTGAAGGCTTAAATTGGAGAGGCTTAAAACACGTGCAAATGATAAACTTTTGTAAGGATGAAATGGTGGTCTGATTGGACAAATCCACTAACTGTCTCGATCGAGCGTCTTTCACATCGGCCAGTCCTTATTGTCAAGCCTGTGGCATTAATTTTAATAAAAAATGCAATAATACCACTTTGATGATAAACACTTAAAAAGTACTGTAGCACATTACAAAGATTTCACTCGTTAATATTAGCCTACTTATTGCAATAGCTGTCAAGAATACCTGACTGCCATGATTAACAATATTTTACATAATTTATTTCTCTTGATTAATGTTAATAAATTATTTCACTATTATTAAGGTAAATTAGTGATTTAAAAATTGCATGTGTAGAGTAAGATTTGTGAAAACGTAAATGAACTTACCGACCTGATCCACAAGCAGAAAGACATATTTGTGAAGGCACAAATCAAAGTGCACAGAACGTTTGGTAAAGGTGTGCATTCACCTTCACTAACTTACCTGCCTACTCTGTTCCTTATTTAATGTTAGTTCATAATGCATTTCATCAACATTAAATGCTACATTTAATGCTACGTGTTTTTATATGTAGCTATCTGTGTAAAATATGCCAGACAAGCACACGTGTAGTTCATGATGTTTTCTATATTTTATGTGACAGACCTATAGGTTTGGATGTTATGTTAATGGCATTTATTACTGCAAAATAAAAGGCTGACAACTTGCGTGAATGTTGGCTATAGTCCTGGTAGATGATGGGCCCCTCAAGAGGTAAAGCCCAGGTGCCCCTTACAGTCTTAATGCGGCCCTGCACACAAGTAAAAGTGCTGTTTATTTTTTCCCGAATATCTGCACGAATGCAAATGCAATATTGCTTTTATGCAACAGTTCAATAAACAAGTTAATATCATATTTTAGACACAGTATTGTAAATATAGTCTGTATTGCTCAATTTCCAATCGCATTTCCAGCCACGCCAATAGGTGTCAGTATAAAACTGAAGACAACTTCCATATCAGCATTTGTAATATAAACAATTAAATCCTGAGGGTGTTATGATATAGCATGACGTCATTCTGTGACTAAGCAGCGTTTGTTACTAAACTGAAAACATTGCAATGTAGCATTACCTTTCTCACACTCACATTTAGGGCGGATGAACTTTTTCAGGACAATGTCATCAGTGTGTGCTCGTTCCTCCAACAACTCCAAACTTGTCTTTTGCATTATTCATGTCTAAGACAATAAAGCGGGTTCTGTTGGCCCGTAGCCATGAGAAATGTTACAAGTGCTCAGAAATGACTATTTAATAGCATCGGTCTGTAGCATGGACTGTTTCACATGCTATTTGCCTGTCTCCGATTCCGATAACAACAGGACCTGTGATCCCTCAAACTTACAGTAACATTTCACTTTTTAAAGTCTGATCTGTGAATTCATTTATAATACATCAACTTTCGACGATTTGCTCATTAACTATGTTCGCAGAAGACAGAAACCCCCTCTCATAAGGGAGATGATATTTGTATGAATAATGATGGTAGATTTTTTCACGTTTTGCAGACTAGGCCATCCAGATGACACACTATACCGAGGATAAACAAGCTCTCATTTATAAATTGAACATTCCTTCTAGAAAAACATCTGACTGACTGAGATCAATGTACTGAGATATCTAAGAAACCACAGCATTCCATTAATAATCCGCAATCTGAGTCAAAGCAGCGATAGCGATCAGATTCAGCTTTATTTTCATTGTGCAGAATACAAGTACAGAGACAATGAAACACAGTTAGCATGCATCCAGATGTGCAAATAGCAATATGCTGAGATAAATGCTCCAAATTGCACAACAGGCTGGCTAGATTGTTAACCGATCTAAGTGAAGAGTAAGACTTTGCCCTTGTGCAAAAGTACACTCCAGCATCCTTTAAAAAGAGCACTTATTATGTAAATAATCTACTTTAAAAGAGTAAACTTACATGTGAACCTAATGTAATGTTTTTGGACACTTAATTGCATGTTTTTTTGCAATTAAACGAAAATGTATTCTAGTTTAAATTTATATCAGATGCATTTACTGCTTCATATGCAATTCCATAATTACTTGAATTGTCTTTGAAATACTACTAATGTACGGACAAGCATTTATGATAAACTAAAATATACTTCAATGTCATTCCTATTGACACTTCTTTCATATATTTGCAATTGCGCATTTGTAGAATTTTTGAATTAGAACATTTAGAATATATGAACTTTAAATGCAATGTTGAAAAGCACACTGCAGTTCAAATGATAAGTCCTTTAAAGGTGCTTTACTATGTTAGCTAAGACATCAAAATAAGTGTTTTAAAACAGATTTTTTAAAAACATAATGATTTAAAATGTGTATGTACTTTAAAGTAAAACTTTTCATTTGACATGATAGTGTACTCACTTCAAGTGCAAGTAAGTCGCCTTTTATTTCATGAATATTATACTATCTGCAAGTACATTTTTAAGTAATTATTATCTTTAAAATTTAAAAGAACACTACATTCAATACAATTAAGGGAAAAAATTAAGTAAATAAAAAATAAAACAGTATAAAGCCCAAGTTTATAAATGTAATGTAAAATATTTCTTTTTATTTATTTATTTATTTACATAGTCTCTTCAGATTTTAGAGAATGCACCCTTTATCAGAGAGGTGCAGTGTGTTTGAATTTGAGTGCAACTAAACATTTTGTTTTAAGGTCTTATTTTAAATTTGAGGTATCCTATCGTTTAGAAAGGCAGTTTAACAGCATAAAGAGCACTGCACACTGAAAAACCCAACACCTTTTAAAGAGTGCATCTAAATGGTAAACAGAAGATGAACTGCCTGTTAATATTGTGAAATATATTGTATAGTGGCAGGTAGCATCTGATATCAGAGTACATCAGTGATCTTGTGTGATCTTCACTTGTCATTGATTGCACTTTTTGGTGCCAAAGCATGTGTGAACAGGTCTGGAATGAAGGGCCAAGTAGAGTATTGCAAAATCCATATCAGCCTGCAAACTGCCAATCACTTTGAAGAAACCATGAACGCTGCAAGCACAAACTAGTAGCGTACAGGAAGTGCACAAATGTTGTGAAATTGAGGTCAAGGGAATTCAGAAAGACAGGAAAAGAAACAGTTCGTTCCAAGGACAGTAAATCTCTGCCCTGCTTTGCACGTCTTGAAAGATTTGAAAGGCTGTTTACACAAGAGTCCTGTTGCTGAGTATTTGAGAAGATGGCCTGTTATGTGAGAGATGTTGATGTTAAGAAAGTCTAAACCTTTGATGCTTAACAATACCACAAAAGATTTTTTTAAAACATACAGCAAATCTAAGGACAGTTAATCCAGTCCCACACTTGTTTACACTGGATATCTTATCCAAACTGAGCAATTCAGAGGCTCCAGTTAAGAAAAATAAACTCCTAAAATAAAATAAATTGTTTTTTTGGATTAATGGATAGTCTTTTGTGTAATTAATCACTAGGGTACATATTTACTATTCATTTTGTTTGCTTTCACAATTTTTAAGAACAAGATGCATTGGATTACATAAGAAAATAAAGGTCTCCATATATTTTTCTGATCAGATGTTGCTCAACAAGCAGTTTTTCCGTTCTTTCTTTTTTTTTTTACCACAGCACTGATTCTGAAGCACACACTTATTTTTGTCACACATGTTTTCATGAATTATAGAGGTGTGCACAGGCAATGTATATTCTTTTATTAAAGCTTAGGAATTTCAAAAATCCATGTCACAGTTCACACCAAAATAAAACGAATAAGTAAATGTATTGCTTAAAGATTACTTTTTTCATTATAGACTTTGCATTAGTCTATAATGTTATGACTTATATGTTCTCATATTCTCGTTACCATATGCATTGTGACATTTATTTATTTTTTGATGTCCTGCTATTTTTAATTGTAATTCCTATATTTCTATATGAATGCACTGATGCATAAATACTTCCTAATATATAATTTTCAAACAGTATTTATTTATTTATTGTTGCATCACAGTAATGAGAACTTGAGAGGAAATTGTACTTAACTGTCATGAAAATATTATACAAAAATATAATACAATGTATTTTTCAAGTAGCATCTGTAATTCGTGTGGCAACGTTATATGAAATGTTACGTATCATATTAGCAAAGTACAATATATCTGTCATGTACATGAGCTCAAACAAAAAGATAATATTAACATGCAATCAGGTAACAATAAATCACATGCAATGCTTGATAATTAAACATCATGCTGCAAATGATTGCAGTGGAGTACAATAACAATTTCAGATTTACGTGTTATTGAGTAGTATAAGGTTTAGTAACATGACATGTATCTAAATATGATTTAGATGGTCAAAGGCATGTGTGTGTAACTACAAAACACTATTATGCCTGTAAAAACAGCATCTTGGCAGATCTCCTCCATTCCTTATAAGGAAAAATAAAGATGATTAATAGTATAGAATGGAATAATCGCTGATACCACAAGCTTTTTATAAAGCGCCATGCTAATTAGGATTAACTGCTGATTAGCACTTAATCCTTTGCGTCATACGTTCAATGTAAACCCTGCCTGAGATCAGCAAATGATTGCTAAGTAGCAATTCAGCTGTCGAGTCCATCAAATTAAACATCAAATCTGTCAGGCTTTTATAAAAAATACATGTGAACTTTGTTACATAAAGCCAGAACAGCCAGTAACCAGTGTATTGCAAATATTTACTTCATATGACACTCAACCCAAAGCTGTGGCTCAGACAATATCAAACAAGCAATATTCTCAAACATTCAACTATTCAGTGATACAAAAATGTATCAAATGTTTTCCTAACCGTTAAGTATTGGCCATATCTCCATATTCAACTTGGCAACAGTAAATGACCACTTATGGATTGACTGCAAAATAAAAACATCCTCCATTAGAATTACATGTGTATGATGAATCCAAATGTGCACGCAATCTCTGCTGCTAATATATGAAATGTTTTGATTTGTATATATTGGCTAATAGGTTGGTAAAAGGAAAGCAGCTCTTTCATACCTCATTGAGGTCTAAAAGTCTGAGCCCTCAGTGAGAAGGGTTTATTGTTGTTAAAAAATTAAAACAAAGTGACATACAAATAAACAAGAAGTTTTACAAATTTAAGTATTTGCACAAGTGGTCTCAGACCTTGGACCCCATTGGACCCTGGAGATTTTGTAAAATAGAACACAAAACTATGCGGTACAACTGATTCATTCTGATTAATATGAGTATATTTCCGATATAAAGATTCAATCCCATGTTTGAGCTATTCATTAAAAGAACCATTCGTTTCGGGAATCAAGCTACATTTGTTGAGCTGTATGTTTCTGATTCGTTAAAAACAACCAGCTCATAAGAACCGGCTCATAATTCGTTTCAGGAATCGAATTAAACCAATTAAAAATAACTGGCTGGTAAAAAAAAATTTAATTTCTGGAATGGGGCTACACTTGTTGAGCTGAATATTTTTGATTCACTAAAAAGAATCAGTTCATGCATTTCGGGAATCAGGCTGCATTTGTTGTGTTATATGCTTCTGATTCGCTAAAAAGAACTGGCTTATAAGAAACTTTCGCTTCGGGAATCAGGCTACACTTGTTGAGCAGTATGTTTTTGATCACTAAAAAGAACCAGCCAGAGTCAAGAGAGTGACCAAGAGAGTCATTAGTCTCGGATATCAGGTTACACTTGTTGCTATGTACATTTTTGATTCATTAAAAGAACTGGCTCGTGAGAATGATTTTGTTTCAGGAATCGGGCTATTCTTGTTGTGCTTTCATTAAGCAACAGTTCTGTCAGGACCACTATCGTCAAAGATGATTGACAATTAGCATACAGTTTGGATTGGCGGTATGGTTCTGTCTTGCTGGTGATGCGTGAGAACAGGTCTCCTCCGCTGCCATACTCCATAGCGAGGTACAAATGCTTCCTGGTCTCGAGCACCTCATACAGACGCACAATGTTCGGATGGGACAGATTTTCCATACAGATGATCTCTGAGGCAAACAGATTCTGTGACTTCTTGTCGAGACGCGCCTTATTGAGAATCTTTACTGCAACACGTTCTGTGAGACCGAGAGAGAGGAGTGTTAAATCACAGTGAACTGTATTTGGGGGAAATCCATGTCATACAAACTTAGCGCGGATGCTAGCGAAACATTCAAGTGACCTTTTTATCTTATTAAAGTTCTTTAAACAAATATGTGGTCAAATGCTTGAGAGGCCTCCCTGCTGTGTTGTTTTCAAGAGGCCTTTCAACCAACCCACCAAAAATATTAGAGGGATTCACAGAGGGGGTGCTGTAAATCTGGTGGGATTACATGAGCGGATCAACTCGTGGTCAGACCCTGTTCAACTGTGCCGCCTGCTGTCAGGAGCTACAAACTGACAGAACACAGCAATCCACAGAGGGTAATGCCGTGATGAAGTGATGAAGTATCGACAGATCTCATTGTGAAGTACATCCGAGTGTAATGGATTCTCAGCTAGACAAAATGTACAGCACGGACTTGGTTCTATGCAATCGGTTGTTGACTGGATTTTGAGTTGTGGGTGTTGCACCCAAAAATGGCTGGAGCTTGCAGAGCGGGTTTAAGTCGATTAATTGATTGGAGAAGTCCTGCGTACGTCACCAGAGAAGAGGGATGAGAGTCCAAACAGCTGATAAAAACATCACAATAATCCGCAAGTGATCCACACCACTCCAGTCCATCAGTTAACGTCTTGCGAAGTGAAAAGCTCCATGTTTGTAAGAAACAAATTCATCATTAAGATGTTTTTAACTTCAAACCGTTACAAGTCCTCTATCCATAATATCGTTTTCTCCAGTGAAAGAATTGTCCCATCTGAATCAGGAGAGCAATATGCACAGATCAAGCACCGTTTACAAGTGAAAACCGTTTTAAACAAATATGTCAGTGGATTTTGATGTGAGTTTTCACTGGAGGAAGTGTTATGGATTATAGACTGGTATTTTGGTCGGTTTAAAGTCTTGATGGATTTGTTTCTTACAAACAAGCAGCTTTTCTCTTCACATGAAGATTAATTGATGGACTGGAGTCATGTGTATTATTATTAGGATTATTGTGATGTTTTTATCAGCTGTTTGGACTGTCATTCTGATGGCACCCATTCACTGCAGAGGATCCATTGGTGAGCAAGTGATGTGATGCTACATTTCTCCAAATCTGTTCTGATGAAGAAACAAACTCATCTGCATCTTGGACGGGCTGAGGGAGAGTACTTTTTAGGCAAATTTTCATTTTTGGGTGAGCTGTTCCTTTAAAAAATTATGAGGTAAAAAAAAAACATATGTATGGATGAATTGTTTGCAAAAACAAATCGCCAACTCGTAAAATAGTTACACGTTCTCATGAGACCGGATTGGAATTTTCATTTCATTCCCACTTAAAAAAATATCTAGTTTGGACTCAGGCTATTTAATATTATATGAAATAGATAAAAATCACAATTATATTAAATACATATCTGAATTACACATGCAGTGTGTAAAGTGTTTGGACATATTAAATGTCCTCAAAATTAAAGATTGACTATAGATATTATATTGTATTGTATGTAACTTTTTAAATTAAGACACCATTTAGATATCATCTAATGAAAATGTAAAATTAATCTTTAAAAAACATTAATAATTTTTTTTAAAAACTAGCAAATCTCAAAATGTAGATCTTATTATTTTGTTGTAATGCCTAAATTCACTTGTAGCATAGACATTCTTCTTCATTATTTATATTCATTATTAATAATATGTTCAATATATAGTACATTTTTTAATTATTCATAATTATTTAATCATTATGAATTACTGGGTCATTGGTATCAGACAGAATTTTAGGAAAGATAGTACTAGCACATTTTCAAATTAAATTTTCAAATAGACAATTTCTGGTGGTCGATATTAGGTGTGAACTTAAGAGGAACTAGTCTCATACATCCATTAAAAATGACCTTGACACTTGTTGGTTAAATGTAATTGCAAACTGCAGAAACTTAAAGCTAGCCTGAGAACAGGTATAACTTGTTTCCAGGTATTTTTATTTGATTTATAGTATTTCAGATACTCTATGCCACTTTATGTAGAGTCATCCAAAGCCTTCTTAAGTGACAACTGATTGTCTCACCTTTAGTCAAAGCGTGAACACCCAGTTTGACCTGAGAAAAATTTCCAGTCCCTATTTCTCCTCTGAGTTCATAGAAAGCAATCCTGCGGCCCAGTATCATGTCACTGATGACCTGCTCATTGTGGGACATGTCATAGAGGACCCTCTCGAAGGCCGTCTGCTTCGCTCTTTGTTCAGGCGTAAGTGCCGGACACTTGCGTGTTTCTGCTTCTTTCTGGGCAGGTTGGGCCGCCGGTTCATTCTTTCCTTTTTTCCCATGTCGCTTCGCCCAGACATTTAGTGTTTTGGTACCTTGGATAGGACAAAAAAAATTAGGTTTGAAAATACCAACCAAGTCAAATTACTTAAATTAATAAAAACTGTACATAAAAACAAATTTTTGGATCCTCTATCATAAGAGTGGTGATGACTGTTTTAATGCACATTTGAGTTCCTTTTTAACCTTTAACCTTTTGTACATCTCATAATAGTTGAACTAAATTGAGTATATACATGTTTCTAAAGAATATACAGGAACAATTAATTACTGCAGCTAATAAGAGGTTTTGCATGATAATAAATTATACTGTTGCACTGGCCTCGACGTTCGATTCTCCGACTATTACAAGCAGATTTCCTGCTTCATTGTCACGATCCCTGTTCACCCCATCCTTGAAAGGTAAAGCTCCTGTAAACCTTTCCTTCAGGATGGAAGGTCAATGAAAGGAAGTGTCCCAGTCTGTGGAGACTGACACGGTCATTGCGTTTACATTCATAGACATTTACCAAACAAAAGTCAGGACATAATTGGATTTTATTTCTCATGATGTTAAAAACCTTGAAATGTAAAGGCTTATACCTGATGAAATTATTTGTGTATGCAAATATAAAGAGTTACTACATTTCTTTACAAAACTACAATTTTAATTTAAACATTTTGAATGTGTGTGTGTGTGTATATACAGTGGGTACGGAAAGTATTCAGACCCCCTTAAATTTTTCACTCTTTGTTATACTTAAAAATCACCCTTTAAAGAAAATATCATACTTTAAACGCTTTTTAGGAGCTATTATTTTTACCGTGTCAATTTGTTTTTGTTATAAATTATTGTATTTAGGTTGATTCTGTGATGTCAAATAATGTTTTTTTACTTGAACAAAACTAGTTCGTTTAGATGCTACACTCTAAAAAAATTTATTTTTAAAAAAAGTTATATTTAACCCAGCATTTTTTTAGGGTGTACCTTTTTTCAAGTCAAGTCACTGTAAAAAAAAAATGGTTGAGAAAAGGTAAAAATCCAATTCAACTTGATGCATAATGATGCGTTAACCTATAATGTAAGACTTGTGTGACACCAGCATATTGAAATAACATTTCGAACACTGTTTTGGAATATTGCATAGTTGCATCCCTCTAGATGTTCTTGTATAATCCTAATCCGTGCCTGAATGTCCTTTCTATTTTAGTTCAAATGCCCAGTATGTCTGCACTGGAGGCAAGATCAGGCTTGCAAGTCTGAATAGAAAAGTCTTTAAGAAGGGTGGATTAGGAGCCACGTTAAGACAATGCATCACAGGTTGCAGACTCGACACACTTCTAAAAATACACAGGATATCCACTGAACTATTTTCAATATCAGTAACACCAATGCTGCAGGAAGAAAACAAACGGTTGGGTTTAAGACTTAATTTAATCACACTATTTTCCATTAATGACTTTTGCTGCCTTTAATTAAACAAAATTGCACTGTAACACCAAAAAAAATCTAAGTGTCATAATTAGCACTTAAATTCTACAAAACATCTTTTGTACTGTGAAACTGAATCTTAAAAACCAACTGTGTTTAGGAGCAAATATTAAGAGTTGAAATTAAATATTTATTAACTAACAAAATTCCAAATCAATGAACAAATTATGAGATCTTATGCATATCCAGTGTAATTAATATGCCGTTAATAGAGGATCATATTAATTTGTCTTGTAAGAAAATTATCTTTATCATTATCATTATTCTCGGTTGATATATTATTAATAATCTATGCAACCTGACCCATAACCACTGCTCAAAAAATAAAAAATAAATTATAAAATTTCTGCTTGATTACAAACTCTCCCTATACTCTATTCCATGAAGAAATAAACTTTACCTGGTAGCTGTGGATCCTTCATGCTGGTGTATGTATGAATGAACGTAGAGAACAGCACAATAACCTCTCACTCTACAGTCTTCAATCCTCCAGCGATCACCAGCACCCAATCCAATTAGATGGACGTAATAATAGATTAGATTAGATTAGATTAGATTCAACTTTATTGTCATTGTGCAGAGTACAGGGCCAATGAAATGCAGTTAGCATCTAACCAGAAGTGCAAATAGCCAGTGTATATAAATAAGAGTAAATACGTACAGTGGGTAAACAAAAGAATCAAACCCCTTTAAATTGGTTAAACCCACATTTGGTTGCTTTGCAGTCTAAAATGAAGATGGACACAGTTTTTGTTTTATCCAGCTGTATTTACTCAGTGCAACTTATAACATCCAAGTGAAAGATATAACACCAACATGTCAGGGGAAAAATAATTAAAAAACCAGAATCACTGAGTTGGAAAAAGGATCACCCCCTTGTGTCAGTATTCTGTTGAACCACCTTTTGCTTTAATTAGTCTTTAGTCTGTTGGGAAATGTCTTTGTCTCTACTAACTTTGCACATCTAGACTTTGCAATATTTTCGTGGCCTTTCTTGAGGAGTGGCTTTTTTCTTGCAACCCTCCCATACAAGCCACAAACTTGATTATGGAGTTAGAGCCATGTACAGGTATGCAGTTGTGGGTGAAAAGGGAGTAGAGAATTGGGCTCAGAACACAGCCCTGTGGTACGCCAGTGTTCAAGGTGAGGATGGAGGAGTTGTAATTGTTAAACTCAGATTTGTTGAGTGCTATTTGATGGTTTGTAGTCTGTGAGGGCATGAATGCCTGTCCACATATGCTGAGGATCATTGTTGTTGAATGTATCCTCAATCTTTGTATCAATTGTTTGTAATTATGTTTAGCAGCTTTAATTCCCCTCTTCAGATTGGCCCTGGATAAACTGTAGGCTTCTTGGTCGAAAGCTGTGTCACATGATTTTAGCAGGAGTCTGACTTCCATGTTCATCCAAGGTTTCTGATTGGAGAATGTTTTAATTATTTTATGGGTGGATACTTTATCGCCACACCTGTTAATGTGGTATAGAACAGAGCTGGTGTAGATACTAATGTCTGTGAGTGAGACCAGTGTGGCCTGACAAGCACTGGAACTCATGTTGTAGTAAAGAGTCTGCTTCCTCTAGCCATACTTTTACAGTCCTCACAGTGGGTTTCACACATTTGATGATGGGGGTATATTTGGGGAGCAAGAACAGGGATAAGCGATCAAATTGTCCAACATGGGGAGTGGAGTTACTTTGTATGCATCGGGGATGTTTGTATAAACATGATCAAGAGTGTTGTCTCCTCTTGTAGGGCAAAATACATTTTGATGAAATTTGGGGAGTGCTGTCCTAGTTGTGCTGTCTTAGCATCCGGGGGTACATAAACTGATCAGCAGGAACAGTGGGATTTAGTAATAACAGCATCAGTGCACCAAGCTCTGTTTACAGATGCAAATGCCCCCACCTTTGCTTTTACCGGAGTCCACAGCTGTTCTATCAGCTCTGTAGATGTAGCACCCTTCTAGCTCAATCGCACTGTTTGGGACTGTGTTATTGAGCCATGTTTCCGTGAGAAATATCCAATATAACACACCCCAATGGAGCTGCGCAAATGCTGCGTGAAAACAGCCGATTCGTGCAAAAAATACTAATACTAAGCTTACAACACGGCACTACAGATACAGGAAATGGAAATTACACATGTAATGACTATTTTCTAGCAGTGATTTTAAACATCTAGTTCTTAACTGTACTAAAATGAAAACTTAACTTTTAAAACTAGGCCTAAGTTTTAAACTAGATGATTAAACTGCGTTCTGAGGACAAAATATTCTCAATAAAAATCAGATTGGGGCATTATCACTACCCCAAGGGGGTCAAATTGACCTATATTCATTAAGAGAAGTATACAAATTTGTGTATCACCAATCATTTTTATTTGTACACCAAAGGGATAATTCCCTATACATGAATGAATGAATTAATGAAAAATAAGATAAACAAGCAGTTTCTGGTCCCCACTCATTTCTACAGTATATTTCCCATACTATGGAAGTCAATAGGAACCAAAAACTGTTAAAGGATGACAGATTTTTAATTTTTGGGTGAACTTTTTTAAGAAAATCATTAATTCCAATATGACCCCTTTATGCATTAAAGGGGTCATATGATGCGATTTCAAGTTTTCCTTTCTCTTTGAAGTGTTACAAGCTCTTGGTGCATAAAGAAGATCTGTAAAGTTGCAAAGACTAAAGTCTCAAATCCAAAGAGATATTCACTGTAAAAAATTGCTGTAGATTCTACAGTAAAATTTTACAGAATATTACTGTTTAAACATTTTACAAGATGTAGCTGTAATTCGCAATGCATTATGGGTCAAATAAAGTTTTACAGTTGTTAACAGGATATTTCCATGTCAACTGTAATTCTTTTACAAGAAGCAGGTGTTGTCACTGTAGCTCCTGGTTTTTACACTAACTTACTGTAGTGTGGCATTATGGGATTGCGTGCGCTTCATTCAAATCTGAAATCCAGCCGACTGGAGCAGCTCAAGAACGATTGAAGATTAGAGGCTTTATTCATAATTCCTGGTAAATTCACATAATTTTACTTAAGAAATATATCCTTTTATATTTATTTAAGTTCATGTATAAGCGATATCATGTTACAATAGCCTGCTATCACGACATTTAGACAAGCGGCCTTGGTATGTGCAGTAAACTGGAAATTGCTATAGGCTATAGCATAGTTAGGCTAAATGCTGCATTTTTCTCATTTTGGCAGTTTAATTTTCTTATTGAGAGCATTTAAAGTAGTGTTTACCCAACTTTTAACGTAATGCCCAGTGCAAACGATTGTCATAGTAACTACTATCTATCTGTTGAAATAACTGACGAACAGCAAAATATGTGAAATTTCATTTGTTCATATGTGTTCAACTGTCCCATATTGATGTGACAACTTACTATAATTAGAAACTAACGTTACATGTAAACATGTGTCTATTGCCACTGTAGTTGTACTGACAATAAAGCTGGTCCAGGACAATTTTTTAGTGAAAGATATCTTTACATGCCCGATTGGACAAGTTAACCTGATTAAAACTTGGGTGAAAAAAAAACAAACAAACAAAAACTAGGGAAGCATCGAAGCGCGAGACTGATTCTGATTTTATTACATTTAACATCAAAACAAATAACCTTAACGGCACACATGAAGTATATGTTCAAACTGTTGAGTTTATTTATAACATATGATATTGTTAAGGAGCATAATCATGTTTTGCTGATTATCACGATTGCAAATGTTACATAGTTCAATACATAATTAGTTAACATTAAGTTACTTACTTTTTAGACACAATATTGACTGTTGTTTTATTTCACCAACGAAAATCGTTCCAAACAAAGATCAAAGCAAAACTCAGCTGTGTTTTTACTGAATGTTTCAGCATTTTGAACGGATTGGTACAATGAATGACTAGTTAAGTTATTTGCTGACACCTAATGGCGGTTTAGTTTCACGTTTAAAAATATCATAGCATTTTTCCAACATTTCTCATTTGTAATTTCAAAAAATATTGTAATACATTAATGTCATAAAACGGTTGTAATTTTGCATTATAAATGATTTAATTTGATTTGTGGTACAGTTCTACAATGTATTATAATAATTTCATTTATTAATCAAATGTAAGAGTTTGTTTATTTTAAAATATATGCCTTTTTGGGTGTTCATTTTGGTCTCATTTATGTAATGCATTTAAAAAAATTACTTGCTAATTTTCATAATTTCTTGTAGGTGCAAAGAGTAGCAGCTGATGTGGAGAAATGTTTGATGCTTCAAGACTC